TTTGGTGATATTGCTAGGCGTACCCTTACAATTTCCCCCAAAAAAAAGTTAGCACAAGGATTTCAACTTCTAAGTATATGCAAGCGATGGAAAATTATAAGTTCACAGTTTTATTTAATGAAATATTTATATAAATATTTTAGAAGTGGAATAGAGTCACATAATTCAAATTTACTAGCTAGTTCCACCTATGCTTATATTCAAGATAAAATAGTAATTTTTTTATTAAAAAGTATTTAAAAAATATAATACTATATTCATTCCTTAACAACACTCCCATTGATGAGTACTTACAACCTAATTAGCTAAAAATATGAATAGATTTGAGCAATAAAACCTGAATAAAGAAACAAATAACCACTAGCTCAAAGTAAATGTGTGCAATTCTCATAATTGACAGAAAAATAGAATTTTTTAAACTTAATGAAATAAATCACCACCCTAATTTATGAACAAAATATATAATAAACAAACAAATAAAAAGAATTGAAAGTGCGTTACTTGATTGACAATATTGCATGTCAAGATATCTCTATCTGTTGAAGTGAAAAGCGAGCAAAAGTAATGAGAATCAGAAGTTATTTTTTGGGTTATGAGGTTGAGAAAGATGAAAGTGGATGTAATCCGTGCACACATTGAGAGGTCAGAGCTAATTGCGTTTTATAGTGGGAAGCCAATAAAATGACCAAGTGGTTCAAACTTGTAATGTTTAGGGACACTTTCGGTGCAACTTTTAATTTAAGAACCAAAATAAAATAGTACAAAACTAAAAGTTTAGTAACCATTTTAGTGGAAATCTTTTTCTAAAGCATTAGGATAATGATTGGTTTACTAAACTTTCGTCAATACTCAACAACTTATATAGTTAAATGGTAACTTCATTTTAATAAATTTAAGAAGTTTTAAATTTGAGTTATAAATATATCTATAGAATTGACATAGAGATAAAAAAAAATTGCTTTCATTCTCCAGCTCAAAATAAAAAGAGAATTAAAAAAGGAAAAGAAAAGAAATGGTCTTTAAGTTCCAAGTTTTAGCAGAAAATACATTTGAAAACATACATAATTATCTCTTGATACTAGGAAAAAACAATTGCTTTACTCACACCAAGAAATTAACTCAGCTTATGTATTATTGGAGCTTCTATGTGTTTTAAGCAGTGGTGGAACCAGGATTTAAGATGAGGGAGTGCCACGTTTTTCCACAAACTTGTGTTGGAAGTATTATTTCTCTTGATTTGTCTTAATTATGTTAATTTAACTTTTATGTCAAATCTCACTGAATAATTTTATGTAACAATCACATGACAATTGAAAATTATTATTTTTTCTTTCCTAATCATAGTGTTTGTTGAATGTTTTCACTTAGACAAAAAAAAAAAGTTTTAATTTTCATTCATTTGTTATATAAATAATCAAGTTAATTAACATAAAATTGATGAAATAGGACAGCTAAAAAGGACCAAAAGGAGTCGTAACATATATGGTTGTAAGGTTGAAAATTTATATCTAAAATCAAACTTGACTATGATCAATATATGTTCAATATAAAATATACTGTACTTTAGAAAATTTTGTAATTATTTAATAATTATCTAGTCTATTTGTAGAAAAAAAAGTATAAACTTAAATATATCAAAAAAATAGTATGTAATAAATTTAAAAACATATCAAAAATTAGTATAGAAAATGATAAAATAAAACAAACAAATTTAGCTTAGTAAAAAGTTATGAGTTAGAGATGAAATTTTAATATTTTGATTAAAAAATGGATATTCTAAAATAAATATTTTAAACTAATTTTAAGCATACAAAGGTGATGGTCTAAGTAGTAGGAGAAAGGATAGAGCAGAGAAATGTTAAAAGTTTAGGGATTTTTTTTAGCAATCTTTTGGCGAAAAAATTAGAGATTAAAATATACTTTTTATATTTAATAAATTTGTCACAAATTATTATGACAGCATTATGTTTTGAATTTAATGACAAGATTTATAAAAGGACTAATGATGATTATTTTCTTAAATATGAAGAATAATTAGATGAATAAAACAAAATTTAAGGATGATATACGTAAAATGCAAAATTTAGAGACTAACTCTAAAACTTTTCAAAAGACGAGGGGGGCCATAGCCCTCCCTGGTCCCCTCATAGCTCCGCCCCTGGTTTTAAAGTTCTCCTGTGGGAACGCACAAAGTTTGTTCCATATGTTCTCCATCTCTACTTAATGACTAAGAAAAGAATTTTAATTGCACCGTGCCCTTCGGCCAAGTGACAATAGCCATCATGGTGCATTCTCCCCTCTCGAACCCCAGTTCTTTGTAAAATTCGTTCAAAAAAAATAAAAAAGAAAAGAAAAGAATTTTAATTGAATACTATAAAAAATGCAAGCAAAGGCCAAACCAATGGGGAAATTGCATTACAGCGTCCACATCAAATCGTATAATGAAAGTCAGGAGGTGAGAGACGCACTTATACCAGCATCTACCATCAAAAAAGAGCCCAAACGATGCCTAACCAAGAAATGTGCACCTCCTAATAAAGGAGAGACAACAGTTTTGTTCATATGGATTTCTGAAATATTTATTACTAATTGAAAACAAACAAAAAGAAGACCTATTTTGATACATTGACATTGGATTTTAAATTAAAATTATTTATTTTTAATGAGTTATATATTTGAACCCCATAAAAACATTTTCTCCATTTCTCAATTATCCTATAAATAATTACAAAATGTTAAAAAAAATTGAAAACAAACAAGAAAAAAATACAATGGTGAATTATACATGCACGCATATCTAAGGGAAAACATTGCTGCCCAAGAATCGGTCTTTTATTCATTATACTATAGAGTACCACTACCACCCAGCAAAATCATAAATGAATCCATACAACAAACACGCTTCTTGCGTTATGCAGCTAATGATTCAGAGAGAGACTGCTACCGCATACTGAACACAACTAAGAAAAAAAACAAAAGCCATCCAAGGACACAATTACCAAATGCCTCAAACTCTAGTGCACTTGTCCCCATCACAGACCCATTCATCATTTGGACGTTGTTCATCCATTGATTCACCTTCAGCTCCTTTTGCTTCCTCTAGAGCACACTTGGGATGGAGATCGAAGTCACAATCATCACAGCTAAATGCCCAGGCCTGTCCTTCTTCATCACATCCATCGCAGGTGTAAACCATCCTATGAACAAGAGTAAGCTCATGCTCATCATGCAGAGGATGCTTGACTTTCTCAGGCCACCCCTTTGACATTTCGTTATACTCTGCTTCAATCTCCTTCAAACGCTCCTCGGTGAAAGGATAAGCATCAGCTCCGTGCATCATGATGAGATCCCTGGCTTCTTTTGTAACGGTTCGGCCACTTGGCCCAATGGCAACAAGCATAGGTATGCCAAAGACCTTGAATTTGCGACTCAATGATGATTTCCTAGCATCACCAAAAGGAAGAGCCAGCCAAGGCATTTCAGAAAAATATTCATCAAAGGAGGCCTGGTCACTGTCACTAGAAATAAAAACCACTTCAAATACTTCATCCTTTGCCTTGATCTTGTTGTATGCATCAATTAGTTTTGGCAGGAAAGCACGGCATGGAGGGCACCAATGTGCTGAAAAGTACAAGAGAATGTTCTTCCCCACTAAATCAGACACCGGCATCTGAAATAGGTGGCAAAGTATATTAGTATCAGCAGAGGGAAAGATACATAGGCGCTAAAGGGATACTTTTTTGTATGAAATATAATCTGTATATGGCAAACTGGTGATAAAAGACATGGCCAAATCTAGCAATTGCTAAAAATCATACCCTTACTCCATCCTTCCCAATGACAAAATTCAGATCCCCAGAAACCAAAATTGACTCCAAGGTTTGCGACATCGCCCTCGCCTTCTCCATTTCTGCAAGCTTAGCAAAATTTTCACGGGTAAATGGATATGCCTGCATCCCATGCTCTTCAATAGCTTCAGCAACATTGGACTGGAGAGTTTTCCCATCAGGTCCAATGATAACAACAGTTGGAAGGGTTGAGAGCTCAAAGTACCGTGCCAGCTTCTCACAGCTATTGTCTTTGAAAGGCAATGCCAACCAAGGCATGCCTCCAAAGCTTTCCTTGAATGATGCTTCTTCATCATCCAGAGAAATCAGTACAATCTCAAAACTTTCCCCTTTTTCTTCCAATTTCTTGTAAGCCTCCACAAGTTTTGGAGTAAAATCAGCACAAGAATTGTCATCAGACATTGAGAAATATAGACCTACGGTCTTCCCTTCAAGTTTAGATAGAGGCACCTTGTATATAAAATCAAGAAAGCGTAGATTAGCAAAGGAATCTTAAGTTACTGAAGAATTCAAAAAGACAAAGCTGCGAGAGCAGTTCAAATAATTGGCATATTGTCAAAAAATTACCTTGCTTCCATCTGATGAGATTACAAAATCACGTGAAGGTGAAGCCAAGATAGATCTTATGGTCTGCTCCCTTCGAGCCTTTTCTTCTAGTTCTTTTAATTCTTTGACCTTTTTGGCAGAAAATGGGTACCCATCCACTCCATACTCCCGTATGATGCTAACTCCATCATCAGTCAAAAACTTTCCATCTTCATCCAGGATTACAAGACGAGGTATTCCTGACACCTTGAACAACTCATCCAAGCGATCACGTGTCTCCGAATCAGGAAAAGGAATTGCAAGCCACGGCATCTTTGAGAAGTATTCATTGAATGACTCATCATCTTCATCCCCTGAGACAAAAATAATCTGAAAATCACCTTTAGGAGAGAGTTGCTGATACACGTCCACTAACTTTGGGGTAAAACTTTGACATGGACCACACCATGAGGCTGAAAAATAGAATCCAAGTTTCTTCCCCTCCAAGCTGTCAATTTTAACCTACAAAATCAAAAATTCAAAAGTAAATTCCTCACCAGTCACAGCTGAAAGTGTGTATTGTCAATCATAAACACAAAAGGGCTTCTTATGTTTCAAGCAATCTCTCACCAAACCAAATTCATGACATATCCAACAAAAACTGCAAATTTCATGTAACTCGCTTCTACTCTGTCTCTGCATGCAAACCACAACCTCTAAATCCCTTCAGGAAGGAGATAACATGGGCTACGTGATGCTTGTAAATATTTCTTATACCTTAAATTAACATGAATTTTGAATAAAACTTACAACGTTCCTTTGATGATGTTATGTTGGCCATATTTCTGCTGTAAATCAGTTAAAATCTATGGATGGACAGCTCTTATTAAGTTATTATTCCTTTCGTGATATCTTACCATCAGCCATCACGCCTAGTGATTGAAACAATCAAATTAGAGAAAATTCTTAGAATCAAAGTCTCAGTTACTAAAAATAGTACTACACTAATACTAAGCTTATCACGCCCAAAACTCGACAATCCCAATCCCTCCTCCACTAAATCCAGTAAAATCTAACTTCATAAACTGATTCAAGCTTCAATCCGAACAAAACCGGAGAATCTGATCTAATTTTATAAACTGATACAAGCTTGTACCCGAACAAAAATCAGAGTTACTTCCCTAATTCCGACCTTTGATCAAATTAACATCCAGAATCCATGAACAAAACAACAATCGAATAAAAAAGAGTTGAACGAGCGTTACCTGATCGCCGGTGTTGCGAATGAGGAAATCTCTCTCCGAGGAAGAGAGAAGCGAGCGAAAATCATGAGAATCACCCTCAATCGACTCGGAAGGAATCATTTCGACATCCGCCATGGATAGAGTGAGATTTCAGAGAGAAATTCTTTAGGTTTCTGTAGGTTGAAGGAAGGAGAAAACAAGCATACGGTTGAAGAATCCGGTGTCGGAGTTTAACTGCGTTTTATAGACTGGACTGGCTTCCACCGTTCCACTTCACGCGACCATACTTGCCTCTCAAGACTTTGACGTAGCGTTGAATAATCTCAGATTATTATTATTATTATTATTATTATTTAAGGCAGTGCTAAAAAAGAATATTTTTGTATTATTTTTTTATATCGTTTTTATATATTAATAAATGAGTTTATATATTTAATATTATGAATTTTATATAAATTAAAAAATTAATTATTTAAATAATACATAAATTATTTAAAAAATAATATAAAAAATTATTTCCCTATTATTTATTTGCCGACTGATTTCCAATTAGTATCTCGTACGTTAGGTCATTTTTATAATGTAATTTTTATAATGCAATGTCGTAGGGATAATTTTTTATATTATTTTTTGATATAATTTTTATATATTATTAAATAAATAAATATATTTAATATCATAATTTTCATATAAATAAAAAATTTACCATTTAAATGATATATTGAGTTGTAAAAAAAAAGTAAAAAAAATTGTTTTAAAATCATTTTCCTTTTTATAATTACTTTTTAATTCAATTTGAGTACTCCTTTAGTTAAATTGCCGAAGATACCCTTACAAGTTACAATTTCGGTTAGAAAGTCAATTTAGGGAATGGATTTTATATTTTAAGAATATAGTAGATGTAGACAGTCAAGCTATCATTATGGGAACACTAATTTTTTAAGGTTATATAGATTGTCAAATTGTTATTTTAATTTAATTATTAAAAATAATTTATAATTAAAAAATTAGGATATTTTGATGTTTGATAATAATTATATGATAAATTTAATAAAATTAATATTATATTATATTTTATGTATTTAATAGTTATAATTCAATTTTCTAACATTTTTAAAGTTATAACCACCTAATTTTCATTTTTCTCTAAAAGAATTACTTTTAAAAAACTAAACAACATAAAAGTACGTACCCTTGGTTTGGAAAAGGAATAAACCTGCCTATTTCATTAAAAAAAAAACTCGAATAACAAAATAACATAGAGTAACTTTTTTCTTTTTATATGTTCTCCATTTTTCCAAATCTCTCTTTACATGTCCAAACCAATAAAAGTTGAAACCATGACAAAATTTTAATGGTTGAAAACTGCATTAGGGAATCGTTTAATAAAAAATGGCATATACTCTTTTAAGCATTAGAGTAGTAATAGGTTACAAACTCACAAAAAAGAGTCTTCAAGTTCTTAGCAAAAAAAAAGAACTTTCAACTTGACCCAAAAAAAAAATAAAAGCAATTTAATAAAAAAATGTTTGGAAATATGCATAAAAAAACATTTCTTTCTTTTCCCTTGATATTGGAGGAAAAGGAACATCTCCAACCCCAAGATGTAAGTTATCAATGAGGTATAAGATCAAGGAAAAAACTATTGTAGGAGTAAAATAATTACTCTATTAGGCAGAGAAAAACAAGCACTTTGTTGACTAACACTAGAAAATATTTAAAGTAATACTATTTCCCATCCATTCCTCCATAGAAAATCATTTTTCTAGAAAAAATTATTTAATCTAAACTTTCCAATTAAGTTTCTTAATTTTGATTTACTTTTTTATAATTAATCAAGGGATAAAAATAACAAAAAAATGATTATTAATATCAGCTCACTTTATTAGAAGAAATTTCTCAATTATATTAATAATATTAATTTATGAAAAATTATTTATCAACTATATTTATAAAAAAAAAATAAAAATCAAACTATTAAAATTTTTTTTTTACAAAATTAACTGATAAACACTACCCTTTTAATTTATTAACGGAAATAGGTTTTTTTATAATTAATCAAGGGATAAAAATAACAA